GATCAATATGAAAGAGTGACACATAAAATTAAAGAAGACTTGGAAATGAAAATAGATTAAAAACGTGTGAATAGGGTGAGCATAGGAGTAGTACAAGAGAAGGGTTGGCTAGCCAGATGGTGAGTGGTGAGTGGTGAGTGTTGAGCTCAGTCCTTTTCAATTTTCATTGTTTGTGTAAATACATAAGCCAAGTATTTCTCCTTCTTTTCATAAAGCCATTTCCTTTTCCATTTTTAGTAAATTTCTCTTTTTTAATTTCTTACTGCCACTTGCCAAATACCTTTCTTATTCCCCCCTCACCTCTTTTCTCATCATCAATTTAATACCACGTGAAAATTGTGTCTGTCCAATAATTCTACTTATACTTTTAATTTTTCTTCTAATTACAGAAATACTTTCCACACCCATGCAAAAGTTGTGGTCACCCTCCTCTTATATTCAAAGCTTTGCCCCTTCTTAGCTTATATTCAAGCGTTGCTTCAACTCTAATTATGTCGCCGTTTTGTTTCTGATCAAAATCCTTTCATTTTTCGATTACTCCTTTCTTGCTGTCTATTCCGTAGATTTATCATGATTCTAAAATATGCTTCAATGATTAAAAATAAATATTATTACAATTTTTATATAATATAATTTCTTTAAATGAATTGAAAATAACCTCACATTAAAATTATTTAGTAAGAGTTACATGACAAAAGCAAATTATTAACATAGGAAAGTTAATGAAACAGTCTGTAAAACCATGTTCCTAACAAATATTATTTGTTAAAACACAAATCAAGATGGACAACCAACATTTCTAATTTAACATTTTCAAAAAACTACAATTCTTTCTTGTACTGAAATCTCAGTCACATATCTATTTTAATATAAATACTATAATAATTAATAAAATGATAAGTATTTAATATTGATAATATAATAAATAATTTAGTTTATAGAATGAAAAATTAATAAATACTTTTATAAATTTAAAATATCAATAAAAATGACATTAAAATACTATAATAAATATTGACATTAATACATTTTATAAAATGTAAAAAAAAAATTATTTAGAACTTTTAGGAAGATAATGCATATTTTAATATCATAATAAAATATTTGATAAATGATTCTATGATAAAAGTTTGATGAAAAAAGAAAATAATATGTGATTTTAATACAAAATTATCAAAATATTATAATATCAATTATCAGAAACATACAATAAATCATTAAATATGTATCATATAGTTAAAAAAAAACAAAAAACTTAAATAATGTAAGAAAAAAATACTATTGAATCTTTTAAGATTAAAAGAGAAGTAATATAACTTTTACAAATAGGTACGAGAATGAGGGATAAATAGATAAATTTCTTTTGAAGAGAAAGACCTATAAAAGACGTACTGCATTAATAGAATGTATAGACTACCGTACTAGAAGTATTAATAGCAGTAAAATTTTGAGAATGGATTTTCTTTAATATATATATATTGTATAAAAAAATATTTTTCTTTTCGTTTATATTTTTTAAATAATTAACTCAAATATTAATTTTATTAAAAATATGTTTTAAAAAATCTCTACAATATTTATTAATTTGTTTACTTTACATCATTTTTATATTTTTTTTGTTTTTCTTTTTATTTTATAGACTCTAAAATGAAGTACTTTTCATTGTATAGGCGAAACACCTGCAACATAGTGAGACATAAGAGTAGGATGGGACTCCTATAACTCTAGTTAAAGTATATTTATAACAATCATAAAAATTCTATTATATAATAATAGACTACAGTTATAATTAATTTTTATATAAATAAATTTGTTAACTAGTAATCTAAGTCCATTAATTTATTTGAATGTAATAAAGAATCAATTTTTTCATAAAAAATATATGGAATTGAAAAGAAAAAAATATTATAAAATAAATATAAGCTTTAAATTTTCATATTTATAAAAATAATATACTTTTTCATAAATTTTGTCACTAAAGTTCTGTTAATATTTCAAGCAGTCAATTTATTTTAAATTTTAAAAACAACATAAAAAAAAGATAAAAATAAGAAACTATAATCATAGAAAATGTGTGATATAAAAAAGAATATAAAAGAATATTTAAAATTTAATATAAACTGTAATCTATATTTATATTATTAATAGTAGGAATTGGCATGTGTAACCCTTTTTTATATGCATAATTCCTTTTCTCCTTTGATATAAAAACTATTATATAAAATATATTTTTTATAATTATTTTTTATCCTTTATAAAATTATATTATATTTTATCAAAGAAAAGTAATTATTTTGTTAGTGATATCAAAATGAAAAAAAAAATATATATATATATATATAATAATTATTATTATTATAAAGTGAACATGATAAGTAATTACTTATTATTTTAGTTTTATATTTTAGAACTATTTTTCTATTTAATAACTCAAAATTCATAAGACTGTATTTCTAGTTTTTTTTTTTACTTTTTAAAGTAAAATCGATTAAAAAAAGGTAAACCATACCTCATTTAAATTTTAAGAGTGACATGACTAATCGTTTCAGAGGATTTTAACTTTGTTCCTTTATTTATTTAAATTTTTTTAAATTATTAAAATAAAATAAAAATTATATTAAATAATTAAAAAACAGTCAAAATAAACAATACGAATTGATAAAATAAATAAATAAAATATCATATTTGAGTATTACCCTATTTACATTTATACTTGGATAATAATTAAAAACATACATTTTTTCATTTAGAAAAAAATTTAATAGCATATTTAAACAATAGCTTTTTAAAAAAATAACTTATCTTTTATAAAAAAAAGTAAAATAAATAAAATGTGTTTATAATATAAATAATTATTATTTAAAATCAAATAGCATAATTTAATTATTTAAAATTAAATAATTTTAAATTTGATTTAAAAAATAATAATTTCCAATATTTTCAATTATTTTCTCTCTTAAATTTGTGTTTTTTTTTTAAATTTTAAATCAAATAATTGTCCAATTAAATTTGATTCGAACATAATTTGTTTAATTTTAATAAAAATATTGTGGATTTTGTTGCAGGTAACATTAATCAATTGTCCTGTAGCGAAGACAATGTAGATCGATCTTTTGATTTTACTTAAACGGTTAAAGTAAAAAGAGTCTTTTGACGTAGTAAGTACTCGATCTTAACATATTTGATTAATGTTAATTATTTTTCAATTGATAACTGTGATTATTTTTGTATGGACATTTTTAAAGCATTTTTAACGTAAATTAAACTATTTTTGCGTCGATATGAATTAGATTTTTTTTATGATGAAGTCTATAATAATTATTTGTTTTCATTGTAAAAATTATTTTTGAATCAACATCATTAATATCATTTGATAATAATTTTTTATTTTTTAGTTTTAGTTAATAAATTTAAATTACTTTAAATTAATAAAATATTTTGAAAAAAAAATTTAAAATAAAAACAAATAAAATTCATTACATTAAAATTTTGTAAAAAGTACAAAATTTTCAATTTACTAAGTACTAAAATCATAAGGAAAAAAATAACTGTATCTTATTTAAAACCTAAATCACAAAATTTTCATTTAAAACTGCAAATGATTCTAATAGAGAATGAGATAAATAAATCCTTCCTTCAAACTTCTAAAATAAACTTTGCATTGGATTTTTTTCATTTGTTTAAACTTATATTTACTATTGTACAGATTATGAAGATTAAAACTAAAATTAAAATAAATGCATGTATAAATCATATTGCCTAAGATCAAAATAAATCAAGTTAAACAAAATAAATATTATCAGTACAATAATAAATAAAAATTATGAAGATTAAAATAAAAATAAATAGGTATATAAATTCTATTATGTAAGAGTAAAAACAAGTTAAACAAAATAAATATTAAAAAAATAATAATAAATACAAAATATGAAGATTAAAACTAAAATAAATAAATAAATAATATTAAAAATAGATTAAGTTAAGTAAAAATTAAGATTGGTCTATTTTACATAAAATAAAATAAGGTTTGAGTTTGTTATCGACATCTCTAATTAAAGTAATTTATATGACTTATTTCACAAGTAAAATAGAAATGTATGATACTTAATATTTATTTTATTTCATTAAAATTTTCTAATAATTTTTTATAAAAAAATCATCCCTCCTATTTTTTCTTTTTGTTTATTTTAATAAAAAAATTATCGTAGAATTTGATTAAAAATTATTTTAAATAATTAATACTTTATTTAAATATCTCATTTAATAGTATTTTTGTTTTACAAATTTATTGAATGCGGATTTTATATAAAATTTTATATAAAGGTATGACACATCTTTAATTGATTGATATAAACAAAAAAAAAAACCTCAAACGACGAAAGTTAAAGATTAATGTAACCTTCACGATAATTTTCTTTAAATAATATTTTAATATGACGTTTAGATTAATTCAATAAACGTATACACTTTAAACTTTATATATATAATGATTTTATATGCGTTTGTTAGTCACAAGTACAAGAAGGATGGTTTAAAAAAATATTATAATAATTAGTGTGAATGATAGTTTTTTAAAACAACAGAAAATTTTGAAATAAAAAGCAGTGCAATGTAAAGATAAGATAGGTTGTAACTAAATTTTGAATGGGCTAAAGATATAAAAAGAAAATGAAATTGTGATTTATTTTGAAACAAATGATGAAGGACGCGTAGGGATAAAAACCAAGTGCACCCACCAAAGGCATCACCAATCATATAAAAAAGAAGAAGAAAAAAACACTTTTTTTTTTTTTTCTCTCCCTTCACTCTTCCTTTTATGCCTCCCCTCTACCAAATTTAAGTGCAATCAATCCAACATAATGTCCTGTTTTTGGAGCACAGTTAATTAAGGCTCAACTCATTGAATCATTCAATAATAATATGGCCTTTGTTTTTCTCTTCCATAAAAATTGAATCAAAATATTGTTCTAATCTCACGAAATGCTCTTCATCACGTGCTCATGTCCGATTGGGCCACTCCTACACAGCGTACGCGCTTCCTTCGTGTCAATCTTGCTACCCACAACACCTTCACAACGCAGACACAAAATTATGCAATCATCACTCATCAAAATATGATTATGCACGACTCAACAATGTTTAACTCCCAAAACCTAACATAACACCGTTTTCGAAAATCTAATTCCCCCCAAACCCTATTCGCTTTAATTTCCTCCATCATTTTTGACAGTTATGAAATGGGACCTCACGTTGCATTATTATGCAACAAAGTCAGGACATCCTGGTACAACACACGTCCAGGAAAAAAAATTAAAATCAGATAAGCCCAAAAATTAAAACGGATCACTGTAACGGGACTAGTTCTGTGTCACCATCAAAACCTAGCTCCATGCCGAAACAGTTAGCTTGTGGGCCTTCTAAGTATGCATCCAAAGTTTTCGTGTTCGTATTATCCTTTGACGCCCCCAAAACGCACAAAAGAAAATTAAACTATTTCATTTTATGCTTTCTCTATATTTGTAAAGGAGATATATTCCAATTTCAAGTACAAATTTCAAAATCATCTTCTTTACAACAAATATTTTTGTTTACTCTATCTTTTATATCTAAACTTGTCATAATAGTCACAGTTTAAATACCTACAACTCAAACAAACCAATTTATCTTGTATATTTTTTTATTTATAAAAACTTAACATAATCTATTCTCCAATTAAGAAACTACGTTTCTTAATATTTTATTATTTTCTTGAATGAATTAGAAAAATTACATTATGCATAAATAAAATATTATTTATATAATAAAATATTTAAATAAAATAATAGTTGTTTACAAATAATGTACCATAATAAATTTTATATTTTTTTAAATAAAAAAATTATTTGTATAATTAATTATATTAGAGATGTCCTAAAATTTACTTACAGTCTATTTAATTTCATTCATAATGTGTAAGTTTTGATAAATTATAAATAAATAATAAGAATACATTTTTCCAGAAAAGCGTTGAATATTCTTCTGATTCTAATTACGTTCTTAAAAAATCCATAACTATCATTATTAGAGACTTTACCACAAATTGACCCCTCTCAGTCTCATCAGTCTCACTCAATAACATACTCACTGGCTCTTATTATTTAAATCCAAACAATGATTAATTACTCCAAACCCTTTTCGTAACCCAACCGCACCTGTAACGAGTTTCAGATCCCGAACACATTAAACCCTTGAAACGTGGCAGTACTTCATTGGATATGAGAATCAACGGTCGAGATCTCAGAGAGGAAGAGGCAGGGTATCGATCGTACGGTAGGGAAGAGAGAACCGCTCAAACCTCAGTGGGAACGACTTCGTACGCTGCCACCGAGGTCTGTGTCTGTGGAACAGTGTAAGTGAAGAGAGAGATAATATAAACCCACAGCGCGCACCATTCTCCACTGTCCAAGGAGATCAAGCACCAAAGCCAAGACCTTTCTCTTTCTCTCTCTCTCACCCGTTTTTTTTTTTTTTTGTTGTTGCGGTTTGGTTATTCTGTAAGTGAATGTTAAACTGAGTTTGCGGTTCGGGTTTTCATTTATGGATCCGGGCGCGATGATGAACGAGGGTTCCTTTGCGAATAATGACAGCGGCAATACGGCGCCGTATAGCTTGGCGGAGATCTGGCCGTTTCCGCAAGCGATTAATGGCGGCGGAGGATTGGGTCTCCGAAGCCCGCAGTTTGGACATGGACCGGGGCAGTTTGGGGATTTCCCTCCCGGACCCAACCATGGGCTTGGGCCCAGTAACTCCAGAAAGCGGCGCGACTCCGACGACGATTCCGCTAAGGCCGTGTCCACCAGCAATGCCGCGGTACATATTCGCTCACTCGTGCTCCTTATTTTGTTTTTGTTTACTTGAATTGATTGACGATGTGGTTAAGGGTTGTTTGGATTGCGCAGAATGAGAGTGATGGAAAACGTGTTAAAGCAACAGGGAATAGTGATGGTAAAGGTGAAGGAGAAGTCAGTTCAGGAAAGCCTGCGGAGCAAAGCGCAAAGCCTCCTTTGGAAGCTCCTAAGCAAGACTACATTCACGTCCGAGCCAGAAGGGGTCAAGCCACTGATAGCCACAGTCTTGCAGAACGAGTAAATTTTTTTTTTTTTTTTTTTTTTTATGGTTATTGTATTAAAACTATGAAGTGATAGTATGAGTTTACCCTTTTTTTGTTTATTTAAAGGGGAAATTGAGTTTAGGATGTGTTTAGATTAAGCAAAGTTATTGATTGTGATTTCTAATTGGGACTTTGGTGGATGCTGAACAGGCTCGAAGGGAAAAAATCAGTGAAAGGATGAAAATTCTTCAGGATTTGGTCCCTGGTTGTAATAAGGTATTGTTTTTGTACCTGTCTTGTGTATGCATAATTAAAACAAAGAAAGAAAAAGATAGTTAATGGGTTAGAAAAGAACAATGTTATCTTTTGGATATTTGTGTAGACGCGTCTCTGTCAAGATGACCTTATTGATAACACAATGGAAAATCATTTGTGATGTTTAGTATGATTATGAATTTATGATACATGGAAAGTGTGAATTCAGAGATGATTTCTCTTATTTAGGTTATCGGGAAAGCATTGGTCCTTGATGAGATAATTAATTATATCCAATCTCTTCAGCGCCAAGTTGAGGTAGGCATCATTTCTTTTTAAAATTTTCATATTTTTGCACAACTAAATCTTTCTTAAATTTATGTCTGTTTTGAAATTGATTTTGGGGATTTTGCTGTTGTCGGATGTCACAGTTTTTGTCAATGAAGCTTGAAGCAGTGAATTCGAGACTGAACTCCGGTATTGAAGCCTTTCCTTCTAAGGATGTAAGTCTTGAACGTTCTTGCCTTTTATATTGAATTTCTGATTGTTAAATTCATCTGTTACTGGAAGTTAGTTCTTCTTCTGCTTGATAAGCCGTCAGTGCAGTTCTACCTGTTGTTTTGTCTCTAGGATGGCTGTTAGGGTTGAACCATCTTTTGTAGATACTATTGTGTTATGAGAGTTTGTTTTATTTCCAAACTTGCTTATTGGGTACTTGGTATTTTGTTGGGTGGAATATTTAGTTGCTTCTTTCTTCACAAATGAGTGTTTTTCAGAGTTGGGTGGTTCGGTAATACTTTTGCATGAAGTAAAATTATGTGGTTGAAGTCTAAACGATTGGTAGAGTTCAGTTTTTCATCATTGTTGAAAGACCTTCAGTCTTAATAAAGACATGGATTTCTGTTCCAGTTTGGTCAGCAAGCATTTGATCCCGCAGGCATACCATTCGGATCACAAGCCCCAAGAGAGTATAGCAGAGGCTCTTCACCTGACTGGTTACATATGCAGGTTGGAGGTGGTTTTGAAAGAACAACGTAGTGTATTGAGATCCCATGGTAATAATACAGAAACCAGAGGTATTCCATCCTTCAGTATCTCCCAGAAAAGATGAATGATAGATTCAAGAAGCAAGTCCAATGGGCACCTCATTCCCATTTTCTACACTAGGCATGGAGCTGTTATTTTTTTCACAGGACTGCTTCAATTTCTATTTAAGCATCTCCATCATATGTTTGGTGTGTTGGAAAATGAATTCATTTACTCAAATATGTAGTATAGTGGACTTTTAGGCTTTGTATTCTGTACTCAACATAACCCTTAAAATGATCATTCTTCTTGTAAAAGAATGCTGTTTCATCTTAATACATGATGCTTACATATTGTGTAATAGTCTCAATAATATATAGTGTTTGCAAAGCAATGTTGAATAAAAAAACTTGTCGCTTTCGTTTCTGACTTTTCGTCTGTCTAGTGCAGAACATCTTAAAGACTTAAAAACACATTAATCTAATCTGAGGTGAAGGTCAGGATGGGAGACCTAACAGGGAAAATAATTCTTGTAAGTTGTTAGATATATTAATTTTAAATATAAGGTTTAGTTTCTTTTCCTTTTTTTTTCTTTTTTCACACTCTTTCTTTCCACACACACTCATCAAGTCTATTTTATCGTCATCAACGGAGCAACCACCGATTTTGAATTACAAAATGTAGTTGTTGCGATGCTAATGGAGCAAATTGACCTTCCATTGTTGAGGTTTGTGAAAAACTTTTCATCGAAGTGACTTCGGTGTAGTCGCTACACCGTAAGAATATTTTGTGGTGATGTCACAATCGCAACAGAATTAATGATACAATACCTTTGTCCCGTAATAATTCAAGAAATCTTGACATTGTAGATTGACCTCATATTTTTAACCATGATATCGATATAAATATTCATCATCAAAAATAATGATTAACACCATTGAAAACCTTAAGTGCATACAAGATATTAAAACGAACTAGTCTCTAGATATTTTACATAACTAATCATAAGTTCATTGTATTAATATAGAGACGTGAACATAAAGGCCCAAACCCATAATGAAAAGGATCAAGACCAAGATCCAATTTAAGACTTAGGTGGACCTATAACAAGAGGCAGACTGAGAAAAATACAAGAGGCATTGCAATACAAAGTGACTAATTTGTTAAAGACCAACTATTAAAAGATCCAAACATGGAGGAGTCTAGACCTATCACATGCATAGAATGTTTGGAGAGCTAGGAGACCCAACTAAAAGATTTAGTTTTTATTATTATTTTATTTGCTACAGTGGGGATTTGAACCCAAGACCCAAAGTTTATAATGTCTTCACTGAGCAACTTAACTTTGCTTGGGATATTAGGATTTTAATTTATCTTTATTTCCTACAATGAGACAAACTCATAAACTTAAGTTGTATTAAACATTTGGAAATTGGGAATGAAGGTACGTAATATTCAGAATCACTTAGTGAGTTGTTGCTCTGCTAGGGTTCTTCCTTGCATCACTTGATCTTATCAAGAATTATTCGATTCTTGTGGCGATCCTTCTTGGCTTATCAAATATTCTTATTTGTGGCGCCTACGGTATCTTTTATGTTTTTCTGTTTTCTATTTCTAATCAAATCAACTCTTAAAACCTAACCCTAAATTGTTTCCCTTCTATTCGAGTGTCGTCATATAGGTATTTCTAATCAAATCAACTCTTAAAACCTAACCCTAAATTGTTTCCCTTCTATTCGAGTGTCGTCATATAGGTATATTATGAAAAATATTTTGTCAAATGGACAAAATAGTTGTACAACATTCTCATCCGATGCATCTTTTGGTTTTCTGTCTGGTGGCATATAGTACGAGGATGGATGTTTTTTGCTGGCTTGGTGTTAATTTTGTTATGCCTTCTTCTTTGGTGTCCTTTTTTCTTGTTTAGTGTGGCCAAGGGAGGAGTAAAAAGCGATCCCAGTACTTTGTTATTATTTGGGTTGCAGTTATCTGGTCCATTTGGTTGCATCGGAATTGTGTGGTCTTTAAACAAGGCGTTGTGGATCGGTTGAAATTGTTTGATTCTATTCGTCTATATTCTTGGAAGTGGATCTCTTCGACTGGTATGAGAATGTCTTGTAACCTTGTAGACTGCCACAATAATCCTTGGATCTGTTTTGTTTAATATGTTTTTTAATAATTTTTCTCTAGTTTGTATTGTACTCTATTTTTTAGATTTGAGTACCCCTTGTAATCAGTTTAATTAATTGATGTTATTTGTTTATAAAAAAAAACATTCTCACACATTCAATAAATTTAGATTTATATCCTAAAATTTTAAGTCTTATGATTACATTTCATGAATAACTAAATATAATCTATTTATGAGAAGTAGGCAATTGTTTTGCATGTAACCATTTTTTTTAGACCTTTAATTTGTATTTATTTTGCTTTGTTTTCATTGATTTAGTTTTTACGTTTTCAAAAAGTATGAGAAGATATTTCTTTTGGAGAAATTTACGATGTTCATAAATGTACGAGAACTTAAGGTCTCTTGAGTCAAAAAATTATTATTAAGAAAAATAATATATACAAATAATTTTTTTAGGAAATCATAATATATTTTTTAATATAATTTAAAAGAAATTGTTTTTTTTAAGAGATCATGACCCTACTAGTCACCCTTTTCTCCGCCCCAATTGTTTATTCCTTCTAATGTTAATTGATTAAGGACATTGGCAAGAATCAAGATGCTAAAAAAGTGACACTAATTAATCATATTGTCGTAACTTAAATTTCAAACATACATGAGGTAGATAAGTTAAAGAATTTTAGACCGATTTGTGTTAATAGTTTTGTGCAATTGAAAATCTGGTAAGAATTCAAGTAGAAATAAAAGTTCTATATTGGATAAAAATAATAAATTTGAATAACATAAAAAAGACTTTAAATCTATTAACTTAAAATTTTATATTAAATGTAAAGTCATATTTATATATGATTATATTGATTCTCTTAGTTAAATCCAGTAATAGTGTTAATCTCTCAAAAAATGCTAACAAATTTTGGGTCTATATTTGATTTGCTTAGCTAATTTTTATGAAAAATTTTGATCTAACTTGATGAAATTTATACAAGATTAAGAAGAAGATAAACATTAAGATAAATTAGTTAAATTTAGTTATTTTACGCAAGAACCATGACAATGTTTGACTGGGTGATTTTTTTGGTACGGGTGATCTTCTACAAAATTTCCTAGAAAATGTGTGAAACCAAATCATATAAAAAAAGTTTTTGGCTAGTTAGATGTTTTAATGTCGAAGGTAGTAAAATTTATAATATATTGGGTTATGAAAATAATACATATTGAATTTATAATATATGAGATTGATGAAAATAATAGAAGTTATATATCACTTGTATAAAGAAACAATGGAGTGTGTCACATTGATGATATAATAAATTTAAAGTTTATGATGTTTTTATTTTCGTCAAAAACACTTTAAATTTGTATTTAATTTTTCTTATACTCTTGTAATAGAGTGTTGTGAGGTTTGATTAATTTTTGTTTTAAAAAGTTTGAATGTATTTGGGGTCAAAGAACATGAACAATCATCTATGTATTGTACACGTAATATTATTTTTTAATTATCATTAGGTAACAATTGTGTTTTTTTATCTAATTTTGAAGTTTTTATTCTTTTGTTAATTGTTTTTCTATAATTTGAATTTTATGATGATACCTTATATGACTTGATAAATTAATTGACATCCCACATATGAAATTTTTATAATTATTTAGTAGTAAACATTGAATAAAAAGTTATTATGGACATCAATATTTAAGTTTACTTCTCAATTAGGTTATTGACCAATTATTATTTTCATATTGGTTATGCCGGTTAGGGTTTAGTTTCTTAAATGTACAATTGAAAAATTAACCTAACAAAATATTGGCAATTCATGACCAAATTATCAATCAAATTTAAGGATAATTGATATGCAACATATAACACAATCATTAATTAGAAATTTGATGCAAAGGAATTTAGAGCATACATTGGTAGGTGAGACAACAAATAAATAGTTTTTGGCTTTCAAAGGTAAATTGATAAGAAAGTCTTACTCCTTTATCACACGTAAATAAAAAAGTTATTCAAAACATATAAGGCACATGGGCTTAGTGACATTCTTTCTTTGTAAGAAATTAGTTAAAAGTGTTTTAACTTGAACAAAAAGGGATGTGATTTAGGTAAAATAATGTCACTTATTTTATTCTTGTTAGCTTGCTTATATACTAGTCCATTATAGTTCTTACAATTATGATTTAATTGTTTATTTTCTTCTAAGTATTGTTTATAAATAGAAAAAAGTAAATTTTAAGCTGAATTGTACAATAATCGACGTAAATAAACCCTAAATTTACATCATATTTTATACTAGTTTTACATAGATTTACATAAAGTTAGTATTCTGATGTAAATTTACATATCTTATGGTAATATCAAAATTTAATCAAATATAAAAATAATAAATAATAAATATAAATTTTTTTATCTATCATTATATAAAAAATAATATAATTTTTAATCAATAAAAAAATAAATAAAAAAGAATCTTAATTATATTCTTTTAAATGTTATGACTTATTTCCTTCAATCAAGTTAATTAAATATTTTAAAATTCAGAATTTAAAAAGCATCATTTACATATCAAACTATAAATTTTAAACTATAATAAGTACAATAAAATTTATGTACTTTTTATATTAATCTTCCTTTACTAACTTTAATCAATATCATTCTTATTATTATTATTATCACATACTTTTCATTTTTGCAATTTTTTTCCCTTTTCAGACAACAAGTACTTTGTTTTTATTGATCCATTAAATCTCAATTTTCTCTTAAAATAAAACATAAAAAATTGTCAAATAAATAAATTTTCTAATCAAATGATAAGCATAGACACCATAGTATTTTGATTTTTAATTTCTCAAGGGAAAGCTACGCTAAAATTCAATATAAGTGCAT